TTTGCCTCCTATATCATGAATATACTTAATCTCAATAAATATAGCTGTACAAATTTACTCTTATAAAATGTATTTTTTATTTTTCTTCATTTAATCATATTACTACAAAAACTAGTAATTGCTTTGCTAGAATTATAATTTTTCTGCAGTGCTGTTTATTACAGATAAAATTTGGATCTTATGAAATAGATAAAACTTGATTGTAATAAACTTTAACAAAAAATTGTTTGCATCATGGCTTGTCATTGTAATATGTCCACAGAGTGTACATTTTTATAAATTTAACACAAAATACATGAGAAAATTTCAAAATTTATAATTTTGTTGTTATGTCTCATCAAGTCACCTATGACTCATAGCAACCTCATGAACAATGCCCTATCCTAAGCCAGTACCACTGACTCTAATATGCCAAGAATTTACTGATCTATTTATGTTAAACAGAAATAATGAAAATCAATAATTCTTTTTTAAAGTTAGCCACTTAATGTATTCAAAAGGAGCCTTGGTTGTTTAGTGGTGAGAAATCACACTGCCAAAGTTATGTGGCTTAAATCAGTTGCTCCATGGAAGAAAGGTGAGCAGTCTTCTCCAAGTGGAACTTAATGTCTCTGAAAACCTACTTGCGGATCAGCTGTGAGTTGATATTTACTTGATGGTAAAACAATAACAATAATATATTCAACCATCATGAGAGACATTGACTATTGAGGTATAGATATTAATTCCCTCATTTATATATAATTATCAAAACTCTATTTTTACTATACCCCTATGTCTGAAATTATAATAACCATTATGACTTGGTTTTTGATAAGCTTGTTTTATTTAAATCCTTTTATTTTAAAATCTGAGTTATCCTCATTTCTATTCTGTGGTAGTCTCTCAGACTGGCTCATATTTTGTAAGCAGCAATGCAAAATACCTATCCAAGTCAGCAACTTTATAAATTACTTCACGTTTTTACTTGTTTTACATGGTGAAAATTATCATTGACGTAGCAATAAATTAATCAGAATGTGAAATTTTAAGGAAATAAAAAAATAAAGAAAAATGAAAGTTTCAAAAATGTAGAGGAATAGAACTTCTTATAGGCAGGCTTTTTAAAAAAAATATTTTGTTAATTTTAATGAACATTTACAGAGATTTGGGGTTTCCATTCATTCATTGTTGTGCTTTTCTCTCTGTCCACCCCTCCTCCTCTCTTTGAAAAGTAAAAGAAAAATTCTTTCATTGGTTTACAACCTCCCTCGCCTCCCCCACTTCCCCAAGTACACTCCACAATGCAACCTTAGTTCTATAGGCAGGCTTTTTAAGTCTTGCTTTCTGGATAAAGATGGTCTAATGACATCACATGATTATGCTATCCAGAACTGAATATCTTGAGCCTTTGACTCATCCATTAACAAGCACATGTAATGTCTCCTGTATAGAAACACCATTAAAATAAATGATGTCATCATATTTAAAATAACTTAAAGTGCCTTTTCCAATTTCTTCCAGTCATTTATACACAGAAAGTAACATCATGGATAAATTTTATCATTTCATGTTTCACAGATCTCTTAGTTATCAGTTGTTTAGTATAAAATCAGATTTAATATGTCATTTAAAAATACTTCTTGAGTATTATTTTAAATGAATTTTTCTAAACTTTTGTGTAGCAGAAAAGTACCAAGTAAACCATTTGAGAATTTTATCACTTACTATTTAGTTTAGATTTTGTCCTTGTTAAATCCCAGCTACTTATTTTCACACATTCTATAAAATGCTAAGTTTTGGGATGATCCAGTGTGTTTATTAAAATGTAGGCTTTGTGTTGTATAGGCATATTAAGAATAGAATCTAATGTACAGATGTTTCTTATTTCTTGTAAAGGAAATTTTTAAAAAAATGGTTTTAATAAAGAAAGAAGCTAACACTGGCCTCTCTAGCCATGGCTAAATTTGCGTGATAGGTCTTCTGCAGTCTTTTATTGGTACTGCTACTTCTGTCCCAACAGTTAGCCTCACAGAGAATTAAATAATTTCAGGATAGACAAGAATTTTAAAAATTCAAGGAATTTACTATAGTGTAGGGGTGTGTGCTAAATCCTTATTCATAAACTTTCATTAACTAATTAGCCATGCATTTCCAGGAAGAATCTGCCTCAGTTCAAAAGCTACTGAGGTGGAATGGTTGGAGAAATATAGTCAACACTTTTTGGCTTTTTTAAATAGAGAATTTTTCTTTATTCCTCATCTAATCTCCATTCTTTGCTTTAAATAGTTCCCAACACTCTATATAATAATTCTCTCTTTATTTTAGATGTATCCTTTAGTGAACTGACTTGTTATAGTTTAGTCCCTATCTCTTCTACATTCTTCTCCTTGTTACACATTTAACAAGTTCTACTTACTGGGTTTTAACCTATACCCTGTCTATGGGTTGGACCAGTTGGAAAGGAATTAGGGTACTACTAACAGTCCATTGTTATGAGTTTAGTTGAAGTCTTAATTATTAGTATATATTTTTTTAATTATTAGTATATTTTTAGCCTCAGCAAGTTACCGTATATTTCCATGGGAAATAAACATTGATTTACTTAAAATGAATATAATAATGTTATTATACAATAATAATTTGTGCTGCCTTCTCTATAAAAGTAATGTACAGGATCCTTGTTAAATATTTATTTTATATTCACATCAAACAAAAAATACATAATATGTGTGTGCTTGTGTGTGTGTTTGTAACATTATTTTCTCACACACACATATATACCAAGTTTCAAAAATACAAAGTAGCTCAGAATAACAATTTTAAGCTTTAAATTCCAACATTTTCTTGTTTTATTACACCAATTTTTGCTTCCCAGATGAAACAAAATTTGTGGAAATACTTTTCAAGTCATAGGATTTTGTAAGACCTTTTAGTATTCTTGGTGAACTGTAACAACTCATCTGGGTCTGGAAAAACTTGACCCAAAGGATCATAAAAAGTTCAGCCTATCTCCAAATCTCAGAAAACAAAGAAAGAAAAAAAACCCTTAAACAAAAGAACACTTATACCTGACCCTCTATGAGTTTTTGGAGGCACTGATTTGGGGTTAGCAGCACTTACTCCAACAGACTATTCTATCAGAGTTCCAGTCTCTGTATTGTTGCTGTTAGGTACTATTGAGTTGGATTCAAAGCTGACCCTCTAGCAGGTTTTCAGAGGTTGTAAATAATGTAAAAAGAGATTGTTGTTGTTATTATGTGCCGTCAAATCGCCTGCGACTTATAGTGACCCCATGTACAATAGCCCTAAACCCTGCTCTATCCCATGCCAATCTTACTGTCTCCGACATACCTACACCATTACCCTGTAACTAAATAAATCCACCTCATAGAGGGTCTTCCCCTCCTGTGCTGTCCCTCCACCCTCCCAAAGATTGGTCCTTCCTTGCAAAATGGCCAAAGTACGTCAGATTAAGCTTCAGAAACCTTTCCTCCAAGGAACAGCCAGACTTCACCCTTTCCAGGACAAACCTGTTTGTTTTCTTAGCAGTCGATGATGGTATATTCAATACTCTTCTCCAGCACCACAGATCAAAGGTATCAAATCTTCTTCTATTCTCCCTAGTCATTGTACTGCTTTCTGACTCATAACAAGCGATTGCAAAGACCATAGCCTGTGTCAGGCACACCTTAGTCTCCAGAGTGACATCATTACTCTTTTTCAGTACTTTGGAGAGGTTCCTAACAACAGACTTCCCCATCGCAATATGTCTTTTAATTTCCTGGCTGCTGGTGGCAAGAGTGTTGACTTTGGAGCCAAGCAAAGTAAAGCTGATAACAATCTCAATCTCTTCACCATCCATCCTGATGCTTAGCCCAGTGGTGAGAATCTTTGTTTTATTGAAATTGAACCTCAATCATATTGAAGGCTGCAGTCCTTGACCTTCTGCAGCAAGCACTTCAGGTCCTCCTCAGTTTCAGCAAGCAAGGTTGTGTCATCTGCATAATGCTGATTGCTGATGTATCTTCCTCCAATCCTGACGCCACATTCCTCCTTATACAGACCAGTCTCCTAGATAATGTGTTCTACATATAGGTTGAAAAGGTATGGAGAAAAGTCACATCCATGGCATACACTCTTCCCAATTTTGAACTGTGCAGATTTTCCTTGCTCTGTTCTGACTACTGCCTCCTGCTCCAAGTATAGGCTTCACATTAGCACTACTGGGATTCCCATTCTTCTCAGTTAGCCAGTTTGTTGTGATCCACACAGTCAAACAACTTTGCATAATCAATGAAACACAGATAGATATTCCTCTGGTACTCCCTACTTTCAGCCAAGATCCATTTAACAATAGCTACAATATATTTTTTTTCCCAAAGCTGATAGTGGATTTAATATCCCTGCCCTTAGGTTGGCAGCTCAACTCCTTAATACTAGACAACTTTGAAAATTACACAATGACACAATGGAGTAAGAGTAACTCCTTCTATCTAATCATATACACCAGAGAAGAAATCTAAATCTGCCACATGCAAATTTGGAAGATGAAAATCAATTCTAAACTCTCTAAATTAAAAAAATAGATGATATAGAAAAGGATGATGAAAGAAGAGTATGTGAAAAACAAACTTTAAGTATACATTTTTAGTATACAAATTTTATGAACTCAGTATGCAAACCAGAATAAAATTTTTAAGAAAATAAAAGTAGCACCACAAAAAAGTAGAGAGTATGATGGAGAACATTCACAGAGTTGTACACATTAACTTATGCAATAATCTTATTTCTACTTGATTGAAAATAAATTATTTGTGTATTATCTACTTAACAATAAAGGAATATTTTTAAATTTAGGGTATCCTCATACTTTTGATCTCTGTGTGTGTGTAGTAAACTATGCAAAAAATTATCAAGATTAGTATTTCAAGAAATTAAATTAGATATTCGTATATAGTAGTATTTTTTAAAAAAAATACAATAAGATTATCAATGATTTTCTTCTCTTTCTCTTTCAGCGGACTGTGGAGGGCCTTTTGAACTGTGGGAGCCAAATACAACATTCAGTTCTATGAACTTTCCAAACAACTACCCTAATTTAGCTTTCTGTGAGTTGTTTCTTTTCTGATTTATTAGTAACAAATGCTTATGTCATCCTAATATGTCCCTATCCCACAAAAATTGATTATAAATTTGTCAAACTTTAATATTTCTACCAAATCTATGAATTTGGTTACAATAATGATAAGAAAAATAATTGCTAGCTCTATTTGCTGTTGTTATGTACCTTAGAGTCTGAACCAACCCATAGCTGATCCGTGGTGGGTTTTCAGAGACAGTTATTCTTATGGGAGGAGATTGCCCATCCTTCTCCTGCAGAACAGCTGGTGGATTCAAACTGAGTACGGTAGGTATTAGAGCACAGCTTCTTACTACTAGGTTACCAGTGCTCTTCAGCAACTTTCTTTAGCATTTTTTAATACCTGTCATTTTACTTGTTTTCAACACCATTATTTCAGTCAATTCTTAGAGTAATTCTCTTAAGCATGTTGCTAATGTTATAACTGAAATTTAAATCTAGTCTACAATCAGTACTGGGAGACTCTGACTTAATCTCAGACACAGCTCACCTAATAAGTCTCCTTGTGCTTGCATATTTCTCATGGGTTTGCAATTATATAGAACAAAGTCATTGATAAGAAGTAAAAGTAGAAGTCAATTGTGAAATCATCCATTTTGGAGAACATATATCAGAATCAACAAAGAAGAAAAATTAAGTAATATTCAAAGGATTCTAGTACAGATTTGGAATTATGAGTATCATTATACAATCTGCATTTAGAGAAAATAATTAGCTAAAATTGAGTAACAGCTATCTGTAGGTCAATGTTTTTTAAATGAGGCGCTTATTAAAGCTACACTGTGGTTTTGTTAAAGATGTATAATTTCTAGTCACTCTGACAAAGATTCTAATCTAGAAGGTTTAGGTAGGGGAATAGATCTGTTCTTCCTACGTCCAGTCCTGGAAGGACCACTGACTAAGTGGAGAATTCTATAAAGGGAAGAAATTTACCAAAGACAGTGATAAATGAATGTCCTTTTAAAAATGCCAATTTTTCTATCTCAAAATTATCCATTGATATGTAGGTTACTTTCACAGGTGAATGGTGTTATAATTATAGAGGGTTATCTGATCAAAGAAAACAAACAGTCATTAGTCTATTATGTCCTGTACAGAGAAATGGAGATTTAATTTTTTCATGCTAAATGCTTATTTATAATATATCATTTTTATCACCTAATGATCTAGAAAAGAAGTTGCAGTAGACAGCTGAAACAACACTGTGAATTTATTATAAATTACTTAAGGAACACCCCTCATTTGTAAAGAACTCAAATAACTACATATGAAGCATTCATAACATAGTCTAGCGAGGAATTCCAATAGGTTCTAAAGTATCACAACATGCCCAAGGATTGTTAAGTGAGGTTAACTTTAAGGCACAAAGATGAAGAAGGTTATAAAGAGTTACTTAACATACTTAGGCTAACAGGTAAATGGCAATGAATTTTACTTGGATTTCCTTCCCAAGGACAAAATTAAATAATTCTGAAAGGTGAAACTGAAAGTATAAACAAATTTTAAATTTTTTTAAGCAGTTTGAATTTTATTCTGAAATCATTGGAGAGACATTTTAGTTTATAGGAAAAGAGTAATATATTAGGCTTACATTTTAGATGGATGTTACTGGCTGTAGCATCACAGATAGAAAGGACTCATACACTATTAATGAGGACATGAGAAATGACAGTGGCTTGACTTCAAATTGTGACAATGAAATTGAAGAGTAAATGAAACTTCAGAGACCTAGTGGTAGTATACCAACAGATTGTGATAACTGATTAGTTAGGCTACATAAAAAGAGATCAGGTTTAGATTTATGGTATAAACAACTTTATGTGTACACTTGGAATGAGTTTGAAAAAGAGACGATACTCTCTTTAGAACACGTTGGGTTTGAGATACTTATATCAAAGTGGAGCTATATAATGAATAATTGAATAAAAGTGGCTAATGGTATAAAAATATAAAGAAAATTAAAACTTTATCATGATATAAATAAAATTACATTTCCTAAGATTAACTGGTGGAAGGAGGAGTGACATCCACTCCCATAATAGCTTGCCTCCGGAAACCCTATGAATCTGGAGAGAGGATGAAAGGCACCCAAGCGTCAAGGACTCCTCTTCATAGGGTCGCTATGAGTCGCCTGCGACTCGACGGCACTTAACAACAACAACAACAAGATTAACTGAGGAGGACCTGAAGCATTTTCTATAGAAGATCAAGGACTGCAGTCTTAAATATAGATTGAAGCTCAATATCTAGATCAATATTCTCATTATTGGACCAATTCGTAGCACCATGACAAATGGAAGAGTTTGAGGTTGTTAGCAATTTCAGCTAGTTTGGATCCATAGTCAACACTCTTGACACCAGGAGCCAAGAGATCAAAAGACAAATTGCTCTGGGGAAGCTTCTGTCAGGGCCCTCTCCAAAGTGACAAAGAGCAACAATGTCAGTCTGGAGACTAAGGTGCACCTGATTCAGGCTATGGTCTTAACAATTACTTGCTATGTATCAGAGAGTGGAGAATAACCAAAGATGACAGAAGAATTGAAGCTGTTGTGTTGTGATGCTAAAGAAAAATATTGAACATGGACAGCCAAAAGAATAAACGGGTGTATCCAAGAAAGGGTGAATACAGGCCACACCTTGGAGGCAAAGATTTTGAACCTCCATCTCAAATACTTTGGGCATGTGGCCATGCGGGACCAAGTTCCTGGAGAAAAACATCATGCTTGAAATGGTGGAGAGACAGCACAGAAGAGAAAGACCCTGGATAAACCCAATTGATACAGTTATTAGGGTTTGAGGGGTAGGTTGTGTCAGAGACAGTAAGATTAGCTCAGGATAGGGCAAAGTTCATAATTATTGTATATGGGGTTCTTATGAGTTGGAGGTGAATTGATGGTACATAACAACAACAAGATTAACTGAGAATATTAAGATTGAGAAAGAATTAGGACAAAGTCTAAGCATTTCAAGAATTAATAAAAAAAGGAATGTTTAGTTGGTGCTAAGAAGAAGAAGATTTTTTGTTTTATGTTTTGTTTTCAAAATAAGCTCTCAGTATCAGCAAACAACCAAAAGAAAATTTACTTTCTGTATGCATTACAATTTAATGATGTAATTTTTAATTTGATTTTAAGAAGTAAATGAATGGAATAATAAATATGTATCATATTTATTATATATTATAAATAGAAATATGTAAATATAAATAGATATAAATATATACATATATAAATATATAAATAAATATATCTTTCTAAGGCAGTATTTTCTTTTTTAAACAAAATTCACATACGTGTGTTTTACATTTTCCTTCATTGACATTATGTTTCATACAATCGTTCCCATATATTTTGTTTTATAAAATTAATCACCATTGCACAATGCTCACTATTACCCCAACCAGATCTTTCTCATTTTCTTTAACCCCTATCTCTACCCACCAAATTGTGTAACACTGTGATTTCCCTCCTGGAAGAGCATATGGTGAGTGAGCTAACTCAGTCTCATAAGGACAAATACTACATAAGATCATTATTGTAATAATAATAATAAAACAACTTGGTAAAACATAGATGGGGACCCAAAGGAAGGAAGTGGTGGGAGTAGAGAGGTGTAGATGGGCAGGAAGTAAATTCCAAGGTCAAACAATATATTTTTATATTAATAAAATTTCTACTATAGGAGTAAGACTTTTTGCAAGTTGTTGTTTCATTAAAGTATTCCATTTGTAACAAATATAACAAATTCAGTTACAGGTAAGGAGCTGCACTATTATCCCCAAAGCATGTGGTTTGAATCCACCTACTGCTCGGCAGGAGAAAAATGTGCATTTACTTTGAAAATATTTTGGAAAATTAGCTATGGGTTGATTCTAACTCAACTGTACAAAGCAACAATATTTGTTTAAAATAAATTATTACATAAAGGGTGCTTTCACGTTCTAGTGTCAAGAAGCTGCGCTGCAATCTTGAAGATGCATGGTTTGAATCTACCAGCTGCTCTATGGTACAAAGAGGGGCATTTTCTTCATGAATGATTAACTTTCTCCAAAAACGCACCCGAGGGTCAGCTATGGGTCATTTCCAACTCAACGGTACACAACAAACATGCTTGATTAAGCAAATATAGATTCTGAAAAAATAAATTTGAAAGTGATATGAAATAATCAAGGCACTGAAACTTTTAGGAAAAATCAAGCAATATGGGTTATAATGAAGCATTTTTATTTATTATTTAATTAGGTATTTGGAATTTAAATGCCGAAAGTGGAAAGAATATACAAATTCATTTTCAAGAATTTGACTTACAAAATATTAAAGATGTGGTTGAAATCCGAGATGGTAGAGAAGATGAATCTTTGCTTTTAGGTAAGTTTGTATCTTTGCAATTTGAATATTGTGCCAAATGCAAGATTATATCCTTTAAGACATTAGAGAAATACTTTAAGACATTAGATAAGTAGTGACCAAATTTCTCAATAAATATAAGTTGTTTTTTTTTTTAATCAGCAAAGCAAGAACACAGTAAGGAATATGTTGAGTGTCATATTTCAAATGGAATCTTATTTATATTCATCATTTGAGAAGATTCTTTTTGAGATTTTATACCAATCTAATATTTTTTTCAGGAATGTACAAATGTCTTTTTTTAATTCAAAAATACAACATGAATTATCCTTAGGCATGGACAATGACAGCAGTAAACCCCATTATATATTGTCAACTAAAACCAGTTGATGGTTATAGGGATTTTCTTAGACACCAGTCAGCCTTTACTCCAGTCATTTCCTTCAGCTAACACCTCTGAATTAATGAAGAACAGTGCCTTGCACTTCCTTCACAGTTCATTAATAGTGGTAAAACACTATTCTGGGAATTAGGACATACCACCCACATCATTTCCCATTCCACTCAACGCCAGGGTCCTTCTCTTCCTTAGGAATTTCTGTGACTACAGCTTCTACTGTGGTTAACAGAGAGTTAAACCTAGCAGAGTCCATCAAAACAGTTCTTACAACCTTAATTGGATCAATAATTTTTTTTTCTACAGCATTCACAAAATCTCCAAGCATATCATCATAACCAATTTCTGAAGAATTCTGCAAAATTTTCTCAACTATCAACAATCCTTTAATACCTGCTTTCATAAAAATGGTCATTGCAGGAGTTCTGTTTCAAATATAGAATGAAAAGATATGGAAACGGGACACATTCCCGACACACTCCTTTCCTGATTTTGAACTACACAGTGTTTCCTTCCTCTGTTCTGATGAGCTTGAGTAATTTACATATCAATTAGATTGGCTAGTTATCAATATTTTAAAAGATGTAGCTTTTTGCAAGTTGTATGTGAAATGATGAAGCAGCGTAAAAGGTTAAATGGAATCCATAAAACAATGCATGTTAGGGCTAAAAATGGTTTTATGTGAATTAGCCAATTCTTACAAAAATTGAGCTGTAACCATGGGGATGTAATTGCATGAATATTGTAATTGTAAAATCCAGATAGAATGTTCTGAAGCACGTGAGGAAGAGAGTAATATAAAACAGCAAGGGTCATGTGAGGATGGCCATATCTGACCTCTACTTTCACAAAAGGGAATTGTCTCCATCAACAGCCTCAATAACACAAAACCAGTTTTCAGACAGACTCCTATGATCCCGTGACTCTTTCTACACATCTCAACACAAATATTACTACTTTGTTGGGTTAAAAATCCAATGTAATAGCTCACAAAGCACACAACTTTGTTCGGGAAGTCAGTAAAATATGAGTGCAGAATAAAAATTAAATAGTACAGTCAATAAAAAAATATAGCAAAGACACTTTTGAACTTCAGCCTTGAGCCTCGTGACACCAGGCCATTGTTCTCAAGTCTCAGTCCTGCCAATACTGACTCTCCTCCCGCCCCCACTTTTGACCACCAGGTCTCGTCTCACATCAGGTCTCCATTTAAGCCATGAGTGCTCCTTTCCTGATAGTGATGTTTCTTCACTGATGGTGAGAGGAATTCCCTTTCCTCTTCACTAGTAGGGGAGGATCTGAGTCTGCTAGGGCTATTTAATTTATTAGCAAGACTAGCCAATCCCCTTGTAGATTGTTGAGACTTGCCAGTCCCATTTTGGAATGGTAGTCAATCCTCTGTGGCTAGGCCAACACACCCCGTTCACGTACTGTTCCTTATCCACATTCACTCATCCACATTCAAATGTCTAGGGATGCCATTTTGGATGATAAACTCCACAGGTAGTACAAAAACTTTTCCAGCCAGACACATTCTGTCAATATAAAAGTGGAATTCTTGAGAAGAATACACAAAAATTTCAATAGTGAGGCTTCCTGGGAAAGATTTCTAGGCCAAAAAAGAGGGTGGTATCCAGGGAGCCATCATTGAGTCCTCTCTACCTTGCATGGGGACCTGACTCTAAGGGGTTAGGAAGGTACCTTATGGCCTGCCTGTGAGTCAGTACGCATAAGTCTGCCCTGTGTTCACCTGTTCATCCACCTTGCGGGATCAGTGAACAGAAGAAAGAGCACCCTGTGGGCCACCATGAATGCACTCTGCTTCTGCTCACCCACTACCTCCAGGGATCAGCAAGCAGAGAAGGGACTGCCTTGCTGGACACTTACGAGGCCACACCACTTCCAGAACCAACACTAGTCATCAATGAAGGAAGTGCCTTAAGGATCAGCAGTGAATCTGTTCCACCCCTGGCAAACTAACCACTCCTTTGAACAAATTAATAGGTAGAGAAGTGCCTTGCAATCTGTCATACATCCACTCTGCTTTGCCCATTTACCTGCCAATGGGGCCTAGCTAACAGTTAGGGAAGCCACTTGTGGACCACCCATAAAATCAGAGGAAAATTTTCCATCTGAACATGAAATAAAAAAGACAACTAGCTGACAATATTGCTGCTGGAAAAATGAATTAGGTGCACCTTAAATTTTGCAACTCTATCAATAGTAGAATTAATATAAGGAGTGATCAGCTTTCTACAACACAACCAGACTCACACATACCAGGAAGATCACATAATGTCAAGAATGCAACACTCAAGTTCAAGCATTATGAAAAAAAGAAAATAATCCTTTCTCCTAAAAAAAAGTAGAGCAGATCAGACACAATAAATACCTCAGAAACAGAAAATGGAGAGGAAATATACTGACATGGAGGTCCTGAAATGGAACTTGACAAATGTTGAAAGAAAGAGTTAAATCCATAAGTAAATAGAAATAAGAAATTAAAAAAGCAGTACGAGAAAGAACATACTACCAACACAGTATTGTGAAGAGGAAATCAAGAAAATACAATCCAGAATATAAGACTTCTTGTTCTTATAATGTGCTGTCAAGCAACTTGAATCATAGCTACCCTGTGTACAATAGCCCTGAAACCTGCTCTATCCAACTTTACTGTCACTGACATACTTACTCCAGTCAATGACTCAATCTGGCTCATAGATGGTCTTCCTCTCTTTCTCTGTCTCTCCACCCTTCCAAGCATGACATCCTTCTCCAAGTACTGGTCTCTCCTTGTAACATCCCCAAATTATGCCAGACAAGGCCTCAGAATCCTTGCCTCCAAGGAGCAGCCTGGCTTCACCCTCTCTAGGATGAACCTGTTTATTCTCCTGGCAGTCCACGGTATCTTGAATACTCTTCTCCACACCACAGCTCAAATGCATCAACTCCCTTTCTATCATCCGTAGTCATTGTCCAGCTCTCTACTACATAGCAAGTAATTGCAAATAGTATGGCCTGGATCTGGCACACCTTAACCTTCAGACTGACATTGCTGCTCTTCAGTACTTTGGAGAGCTCTCTGACAGCAGACTTTCCCAATGTGATTAGTCTTTTAATTTCCT